ACCATGCCGGGCTGGACATTCTGTATGGAAAACATTTCACGAAAATCGATGTTGATGTTCTTTATGCCATGGGTTTCCAAACTTTCTCAGCACTAAGTCCACCCCCAAACCTCGATATTCTTACTCTGATTACACCCCCCTCCATCATACCCAATGAATCTATAGATACTGGGTAACTAAACAGTACTATGAATTTGCTACTGTCCTCCTGACACTTTCCTGCGATCTCCAGTTTAGGAACCCCTACTTTAGGCACCTGAATACGATTCAATAAAACCACACTTACATTCTTACCACGCTGGTTCCACATTGCTAGTATAGTTATAAGGAAAATACGACATATTTAATTGGAAGTACGTTAAGAAGTAATGTCTAGTTGTTATTCTCGTTTTTTAACAGCATTATTTTACGTTTGGTGGTTCTAATGTAAACTGATTGGCCTACAAAAAAAAACAACAAAATCCTTTATTTCTTCTAGAAACCTTTAACTTAAAACCGAGCTCATTAAAAGATAACTTGTACAACTGTAAAATGACTTTCTTCAGCTAAAAGCGACTCACCGTATATACAGCGAAACGTTATTCTACACGGACAAAACCTGAGCTTTCTTGTCTACTATCTGTTCGAAGATCGAATTCGATATGTAGAAGAAGGTAATTTAGTTGGAATGCTCTAACTACGAAAACACGTGTACGTTGGTTATCTTCAATTACATTTACACTGTAATTTAATTAACCAGCGTAATAATGTTGAATGAGCGCAGTCCGACACTAAAATAGTTTACATCGAAATACACTAATAACATAAACATGCTGTGCCATTCAGTTTAATGGTGTCGTTAGAAAGAACCTAAAAAGTCTACACAGAATGCCGCTTGTTCCATGAATGACCAAGTTTTACACATTCATGGAAATTAACTTATAATATATGCACGTATTTCTAAGGCTCTTACAGCACAATAATGATGTTGCGTTGTCATGGTTGAAGAGAACAGAAGTATAATATTAATTGAAAGGTTACAGAAAACTTGTGTAAAAGTCACTCTTAACACATACAATGGCCACTAAAGCTTCACAGTTTCACTCTTAGCACGTACAATAGCCACTGAAGCTTCACAGTTTCACTCTTAACACATGCAATGGCCACTGAAGCTTCACAGTTTCACTCTTAACACATACAATAGCCACTGAAGCTTCACAGTTTCACTCTTAACACATACAATAGTCACTGAAGCTTCACAGTTTCACTCTTAACACATACAATGGCCACTGAAGCTTCACAGTTTTACATGTATCGTCATCTTAACATGCCATGCGTTCGGTAAATCGCATCAATTTATAATTAACAGGGCCGTACGAAGCGGTAAGGCCAGTGAAACCATGATCTGACCCCTTTTTAATGACATGTATAACTACAACTTATGTATTAAAACTTACTTCAATACATTACGTTGTATGTATGCAGTATTTGTAGTGAAAATGGTTCAAAACTCAATGCCATAGCATACAAATTTCTACCCCCCCCCCCCAAGAAATGGCAATGGCCTGACCACTCCAAAATTGATTCCAAGAGACAAAACGTTTGACGGGAATGGTGTCTATGAGCTTTAAGACGATAAAATGAAAATATAGTAATATCACAACAATTACAGAGTTTTCCTAAACCAATCGAAAAACATAATTAAAGTCACTTATTATAAAAAAAAGCCCCCCACCCCAGTGAGTCAGCGGAAAATCTGACGACTAATAACGCTAAAAACTGGGTTTCAGACCATGTGGTGGGCACAGCAGAGATAGCTTTGTGCTTAATAAACAATCATTATAAAAAAAAAAACAATTCTTTAATTTCTCATTTCATACATTTCAAGATATTTATGTTACTTTTACTAATTTATTAAAATTTAATTAAATATAACAACAGGCCAGAACATCTAGCATCTGTTATACCACACAAAACTCAATAAGCCGAACTGATATTAACTGTATATCATCATACACTTACCTCGCACCTTGTACGGTTGATATTGTACAGGTTAAGGCGATAAATCCGGTCCCTTAAAATGTAAACAAAACAATATATGTCAAAAATGTAGTCTCTCCAATCATAAATAATGCACTTATGCTTAATACACTTCTTTAATGTTATCCCTATGATTGCTTTAAGTTATAACAATCCATTTTAATTCATAAACTAAGTTCTCATTTACGTTAGAAACACTACATTTTACATTAAATAAATGCCGACACTTCAGCGTAACCAATTGACAGAAATGTATACAGATATTCATATAATACAGTAATTTAGTATAATTACACAATTTCTTATGTTTTAATTCTTAAATATACTACTCAAATTAACCCTTCTGGCCATAAGTTCGGCTACAAAGTCACACCAGACTTTTTGACTACTTGGCTTCCATTAGGAAGGGCGGAGAATAGGAAATTATAGTATTGATTGTTTATATATATGTATGTGTGTGTTATAGTATTGATTGTTTATATATGTGTGTGTGCGTGTGTTGTAGTATTGATTGTTTATGTGTGTGTGTGTGTGTGTGTGTTATAGTCTTTATTGTTTATATATATGTGTGTGTGTAGTGTGTGTGTTAGTCTTTATTGTTTATATGTGTGTGTGTGTTAGTCTTGTTTGTTTATATATATATATATATATGTATGTATGTGTTATAATTTGTTTGTTTATATGTGTGTGTTATAGTATTGATTGTTTATATATGTGTGTGTGTTAGTCTTGTTTGTTTATATATGTATGTATGTATGTGTTATAATCTTGTTTGTTTATATGTGTGTGTTGTAGTATTGATTGTTTATATATATGTGTGTGTGTGTGTGAAAACTTGACTACAACAAACGTAGCAATATCTTGAGAAACAGTAGACTATCTGCAGGTAAGTAACTACTGTTACCACAATGGAAGTCGCTAAAAGAATTGTATATCGCAAATAACCCTGTAATATATATAAGTATAAGAAACACTGGAATATTGTTTTCCTTTTCTTTTATCAATTTCTTCTACCGGTTTCGTGACTTTAAAGTTCACTCTTCAGGAAATAGTTTTACTGAGAATCTATAACAAAAAACATACAAATAGTACTTTTCACTAGTTTCTATGTTTTTCGTTATAGATTCTCTGATGGTGATCACTAAAACAACAGGGAGCCGCTGGAGGAGTGTAATGTTTTGTTTATTTATTTTGTGTTAGATATCACTAAAACTATATTTTACTGTAATTAACTAAAAATTAAGAAGCTTTAGCTAAAATCTTATGATATACTCTTTCTAAAACCGTCATGCATTTGAAAAATAATTGCAACTCAAACTGTAAACACGCACAGAAACCTTTAGCTTATGTTAATCGCATTTTCTAAGAACGATTTGCACATGTTGATTTTCAGAAACAGTTCCCATAGATGGGAACTCTAGCACCATGAGCAACATGTTTAACGTTATAAATTTATTTCATGGCAATTTCCCGATCATTCGACTGCGTAATGCCTTCGGAAAGAATTATGACCCGTCGGTATGTCACGGCCATTTTCGAAGAAAGAAAGCTTTAATGTTCTTCGTGAAAGCGAAGAAACTCACACGGCAAACCGTTTAGGACATCAACGGATTTCGCAGCACACTCCAAGCCAAAGCTATGGTTATGAAAGAGAACTCTCCAACTTAAAATGTCATTGTGATGATGCTAAGCATATATTCTAGTACGTTTAATGGAATATAAACAGTGATTTAAAGAAGATGAAGGATTACAAGACGAATTTCACAAGTTTCCATCTACACCACAAAATTAATGGTGTTTTCATGAGAATCGCGGTGATACCATTCTACCAGATACCCACAAGTAGCCGAGTTGCAGCTCCGACAGTTTCTTGTCTTTGGTATACTCAAACGTGACATTACAAGCCAACGTCCACGGATAATGGAGGGCCTAGGGGCATTTTATCAAGAAAGATGATCCAAACTTCACACAAGCTTGTTTGTTTGTTTTTGGATTTCGCGCAAAGCTACACGAGGGCTATCTGCGCTAGCCGTCCCTAATTTAGCAGTGTAAGACTAGAGGGAAGGCAGCTAGTCATCACCACCCACCGCCAACTCTTGGGCTACTCTTTTACCAACGAATAGTGGGATTGACCTTCACATTATAACCCCCCCACGAGCATGTTTGGTGGGAAGCGGATTCGAACCCGCGACCCTCAGAATGTGAGTCGAGCGCCCAAACTTCCTGGCCAAAC